TGGGTAGAGATGAGCAGGGGGCAATGGCCACCAAGTCCCTGACTGGCCAAGAGAGCGAAGCTGCCAGACATGAGCACTGTGATGCTTGGATTGTCTGCAGTACAAGAAGAAAGCATTACTTCCCCCTTGATTTTGAGCAAAGAGGGTGGTTAGAACCAAGTTGCACACTGGGTGGGGGTGGTCAGCAATTGCCCATCTATTCAGTGTGAGACTGGGTAACCCCATGGCCTAGTTAAAATGTACAAATATCCCTCAGAGTGTGGAATTAGCAACTGAGGCCTATCTTAGTGACCCCACAGGCCACCATCCTCATTTTACACATGAGGAAACTGAGGCCCTAGAGATGCAAATTGGCACAGCTGTTAGGGGGCAGAGCTAGGGCCGAGTTCCAGGGTCATCAAGACCGTCTGTGCCACAGGTTTCTTTGGCTGGTGTCACACGACCTTGGACGAGTCACGGAATTTGGGGCCTGTGGTTCCTTATCTGACAACCAAGGCCATGGGACCACATGATCTCAGAGCCTCCTGGTCAGCAGGCCCTTTTATCTCCTGTGGTCTGAGCAAGGTCGTGTTTTTCTGCCACAGCAGCAGAACAGGGTCACGATGGAGGACTCGGCTTCCTAGGCTTCTAGCCTACTGGTTCCTTCCTTTTGACCAAGGTCAAGGTCAAAGCCATTCCTTCCCTTCCAAAAGGAAGGCATGGCTTCCCTCCGCCCCTACCGCTCTGTGACTTCTGCCCCAGCCCATCCTCACTCTCCCCATCTGAGAGGCAAGAAAGTGGTGACAAGCAGGTCTCCGGAGCAAGATGGCTTGCCTTCCAGTCCCGCTCTGCCACCTGCCAGTGGGGGACCTCTGGCAGTCATCTGGCCTCCTCTTGCCTCTCACTTTCTCCATCTGTGAAATGGGGGGTCGTGATAGCCCTCACCTTGCGGGTGTGAAGACTGGCTGAATTCATTTGTGTGAAGCACTCGGAGCCGGGCGCACAGTGAGGCTGCACAGGTGCTGGGCATCACTGGGCCTGTCACATCGTGTCTATCTAATCCACCTGGGAAAATGCTCCCCCTGACGTCCCCGGCCAGCGACTGTGGTGCTCGGTTTTAGCTGAGAGAGCGTCTGCAGCAGGATTAGCTGGTCTGAATCAGACCCCAGCAGCACCAAGCAGCCCTCATCTCCCTTTAAAAGAGGACCACCCTGAGCCTCTCGGAAAAAATGTCGCCTTCCCGATTGAAGTGATTCCCATGTAACCACAGTTGGGACCACAACTGGCTGAGATTTTCATTCGCCACAAACGGTCTGTACTTCCCTTCTCCAGACTCCATGAGGGCCGATCAAATGTCACATCACGTCACCGTCATCACCCTGTTCACAGGCCACCCTAGAGACTCCCGGGGGTCTGGGCGTTGGCAAGAAGGGGGAGAATGAAGTTCTGAGCCAGATCTCTGCCGTGCTGTCCTGGGGAGAGGCTTCGGTTTCTCCCGCCCTGCCCTGCCCTCTGTGCTGGGGTCTTGTGGGGGTGACGGCACCAGGCCTCATCCCCGAAGCCTATTAGTGAAACTGGCTGATGCGGGGCTCTGCTCCCACACTTTGTGTCCTGGCCCAGAAACCCAAAGTGCCAGTTTGCAGAGCCAGGAGGAACTCGGCGCTCATGCCTGACTTTGATCCGGATGGATCCATCCTGCAAGGCTCCGAGGTTGTGTTTTCCAAAACTCAGACCAAATGTGTTCAGGTGGCCAGGCCTGAGCATCTCTGCAGGGGACTGGGTGCCACAGAGCTACAGAAGGACCATTCTCCAGCAGCCTGTTTGCAAATGTCCACTCCCAAACACCAGTGGGAACGTGGAGACCCATCTGCTTCAGAGCGAGAGGTGATTAAACTAAGAACGTAAGCACACATTCAAATTCTCAAATGCTCCAGCGGCAAACTGTTTTCCATCTGCAGCGTGCTGTGTCTGAACAGAGACCCACCCCAAATAGCCCGACCCCCGCTTCCCTAATGAGGTTCACTTAAGAAACTTGTTTGGCCAACTTAATAGAAATCCAGCCTGTGGTTGCCTTTGAGAGGAGAGATGGGAATTGGCTTTGGGGCGAGGCCAGAGGGAACTTTATGGAGGATGGACGTGTCCTGTACCCTCACCGTGGGGGGGTGGGTTATGCGGCGATTTCACTTGTCAGAATTCATCAGACTGACTCTTCAGGGCTGTGCCCTCTAGTGAGTACAAATTTCACCTCGATAAAAAGTTACAATAATGAATTAGACAATATCTACTTATATTTAACCTAATCAGGTAGTTGCACACAGTCTCCAGTCGCCCCTTCTCTGTGCTTTCACTTTCCACGGCTTCAGCTACCCTGGTCAACCGTGGTCCAAAACTACTAAGTGGAAAACTTCAGGAATAAAGAGCTCGTACGTTTGAAACCGCACACCGTTCTGCATAGCGTGATAAAATCTTGGGCCATGCAGCTCCCTCCCACCCAGGACATGTGTCTTCCCTTCGTCTAGCATGTCCCCACTGTGTGTCCCCTGCCTGTTAGTCACTATCAGCCATCTGGGTCACCAGATCGACTGTCCTGATATTGAAGGGCTTGTGCTCAACTCAGCCTCCTTTAACAGTCACCCCAAAGCGTAAGAGTGGTTCGTGTTGTGGGCAGTTCGGACAAGCCAGAGAGAAGCCGTGAAGTGCTTCCTTTAGTGAAAAGGTGGGTATTGTCTGCAGGAAAAAACACAGTATAAGTAGGATTCGTACCATCCGCAGCTTCGGGCATCTGCTGGGGATCCTGCAACATGTCCCCCTCGCATAGAGAGGGACTACCACACTTAAAACGATGTAAGAATCATATATTAATTTAGATCCCTCCTCCCATTCACACATTTCACAAAATGATGTTACGCGAATGTACACCTTTCCAGATCAATGTACGTTGTTACTAAACCACTTTTTAGTCAACAGTTTCCCAGAGCATATCACCTTCAATGCATCCCATTTATTTGAAATGCAGAACGTTTTGAATCCACATTTAATGCTGAAACTTTATTGAAAGACACAAATTGCCCATTTGTACAACATGGCAGCAGTTGTATTATTTGTTTGCTAGGGAATCACTCAACAGCCTTCACTACATAAGCATCCGACATTTTGCTGTCTGAACTGACCTAAAATATCACAACTTACAACAGTTGCGCCCTGGGAATGATCACCAAACACGTGTTAAATCTAATCGCCTCCTTCCCATTCATTCTCTTTAGTGACCTCAAAAAGCATCCAAACCAGCGTACTGAGACCGTTTCAGTCTGCGGTGTCTTCCCAGATTTTGTGGTTCTAACAAAGTAATTGAGAGAAGACCGAATTATGAGATACTTTTAAGGAATAATAAGTCATAAACTATGAGAGATTTATAAAGGCAACACTTTTCTAATAGATCAATAATAATTTGAGGAAATATATCCTCATTTGAGGAAATGAAGGCAACACTTTTTTCTAATAAAGCAATAATAATAATTTGATGAAGTATATCATCATCTTGTTTATTTTCAGGCATATACTACATAGGAAATCTCGACATATATATTCAGAGCAAAGATAAAGTGAGATTAATTTAGCAAATTTGGGGGGTCTTGTTTTATAGTTCATTTTCTAGGGGTTTTTTATTGTTGTTCAAGTACAGTTGTCTCCATTTTCCCCCCATCACGCCCACCGTCCCCAACTCCGGCCCTCGATCCCACCCCCCTTTGGCTTTGTCCCTGTGTCCTTTACACACATTCCTGGCAACCCTTCCCCCTTCCCTCCCCACTCTTCCCTCCCCTCTGGTTTCCGTCAGTTCTTAATTTCTGTAGTTCGTTATTAAAAGGTGAACATTGTTAGCTTAAGTTAGAAGTCTCTTTATGTAAAAATTTTTAACTAAACCCACCATGAATGAGAAGTCGAATTTTCTTTTCAACAAATTCAAACTATACACTGGATCTTAGTCAAGGACGATAGGAGGGTTTAAGCAGATGCTTCCAGTTAGAAATGGAATCGTAAATATAATCCTAAGTTGCAGATCACTAATGATTAATTTTGAGACTTGACCTTAAGTTGTACCTAAGTCTGGAGCTTCAACCAGTGCCATATAATACATAAAGAGGACCTTGTTTGTTTAACAATTCCTCAATGGAGGCATTAAGAATATGTTTTAAAGAAATCAACATGCACAACTCTACACCATTATTTTTGGCGTCTTTGATGTTAACGGTGCTGTAACTCTCAGCACCATTGCCGTCGCAGTCAGAAGCGAGATCAGGTCACCCACCGAGCGCTCCCTGGGCGTGTCATCTCCTGCATGGCTGCCCCACCTTTTTTCTTTCTTTCTCTTTTTTTTTGGGGGGGGGGAGGACAGAACCCTGGTTTTAAATGAGAGTGAAGCTCCAGCTGGAGCAGAGATGGGCCTAGAGCAAGCCTGTGGGATGCCTCTTCTCCCCAGGAGACTACGGGGGCGGGGGGGGGACCGCACTCTGGGGGTTCCGTGGAACACAGTTTGAAAACCTCTGATGGTGGACCTTGCATAAAGGTTAGGTGTCAGAGGACCTGTTTCCAAAACCTGCGTTTTGGACTCAGTGATGGTTGGCAGGTGACTTAACCCAAGTCTCGTTTTCCTCTCCCAGAGAAAGAGCAGGGAGGCTTCTCTCAGACAGTTGTGAGATGCTTTTAAATGCTCTTTGGAAACTGTGAAGCGTGGGTTGGTTTTGTTCCCGAAGTGTTACCATGTCCAGACACATCTCCTTTGCATGTTGCGTGCCATCTCCTCTCAATTACTTAGGGACCGAGGATCCACGTTTTCTGTTGTTCGGCCCTGTTGGTGCTCCTGCTTCTGCCTTTCAGCTTTGCAGCCATTATTGTCCACTGGAGAATGAACAAGTGGGAAAGTCGACCTTGGGCTTGGCCACTACCACCTATACGGTGTGAGGTTCTATGCTCACTATCCATTCTCAGGTGGACCACTCTGACAGATTTCTTTCCACTTTCAGGTAAGCCAAGAGAAGGGAAACTGTTCCTTCCAGAAGAACCCGACCCCCTGCATCATCCCTCAAGAACAAGAAAATATCTTCCATACTATATTTGCCTTTTTCACCAAGTCTGGAAGAAAAGTCTTGGTAAGAATTGGATTGGGCTCGCCGGTGGGGTCCCCACAGGTGGCCCTCCCTAGGAAGGCAAGTCTGAGATGAGAGGCCAGTTTTCTGTTTGGCGTTTCTTATTTCCCAAGTCTGGTTTTAATCAGTTGGCTTAGAAAGTCACAAGGACTGTGGTCAGTTCCTCTTTTTCAGCCTGAGGTTTCAATCGAAGTGTTAAATTGACATTTGAAGTTCCATTGCCTGGCAAAGAGGAAACCTTTGCAACCCACTGAGCTCAAAGTAGTAAAACATCTCTCCAATGAACGGGAGTCTAATTGACAGGGATGCTTCTGGTACAGCCACTTTGGAAAACTGCTGGGCAGTATCTATTCAAACTAAAGATATTTGTACCCTGTGACCCAGGAATTCCACTCCCCGGTATGTCCCCATGAGAAATGAGTACTTGTGTCCACCAAAAGATAGGAACAAGAATCACAGTCATTATAGCCAAAGGCTGGGAACAATTCAAATATCCATCTGTTGTTATAAACAATTGTGGGGTAGCCATACACTGGAACTGCTACACAGGACCACACGGATAAATTTCCTAGACATAACATTTGGATGGCAGAGCTAGAGACAAAAGGATACATATTATACTACAATATTTCACTTACATGAAGTTCAGAAACAGCGAAACAGTCCATGGCAATGGAGGCCAGGATAGTGGTTACTTCTGGAGGAATATCAACAGGAGGGGACATGGAAGAGCCCACTTAGGTACTGGACATGTTCTACATCTTCATCTGAGTTGAACACATGTGAGAACATATCAAGATGGCCTCTTCAGATTTAATGTTTTCTGTATGTAGGTTATATCCCAACTTATTTATTTATTTTAGAGAGAAGCATCAATTTGTTGTTCCACTTATTTATGCATCCATTGGTTGATTCTTGAATGTGCCCTGACTGGGGATTGAACCCTCAACCTTAACATGTGGGGATGATGTTCTAACCAGCTGAGCTACCTGGTCGGGGCTACCCCATTTATTTTAAGTGCAGTTACTGGAGGTGGAATCATGACTACTTACTCCTCTACCCTGCCCTACCTGAAGAGTGGGCAGAGATTACACAATGTAAGAAAGACATCTTGTGTTCAGAACTCATGAGCAAAATGCTTTCAGTGTAGGTAGATGTGCTGCTTTTTAAAAATAATTATTTCTCCTTGCAAAATCCAGTTGCTTGACTAGAAGGCATGTTCTGCTGCCCACTGGGCGGGAAATCCCTCCACTGCCCTCTGGTGGTGAGAAGGAATGATCGCAGTTCCCAGGCCTGGAGTTGTCTTAGGTCTCCAGAATAGAAGCCCACGGAGCCTTCAGCTCCATAAATGGCTGTGCATCTTTGTTCTTAAAACCACTTGTCCATTCTCTGATTTTTCTTCTCAGGACTGTGAAAAACCAGGAATCTCTTGCCTAACAATGCACTGTAACCTGAGTGCACTTGCTAAAGAAGAAAGTCGTACCGTCGACATTTACATGCTGCTGAACACAGAAATATTAAAGAAGGTAAGTCCTGAGCAACTGCACCCTCAAGGTTTGTTTAAAAGCATGTGACTTGGTTTCTCATGAAACGCTGCCTGCCCCTTTTTAAAACCTTTCTTGGCCAGTGCCACTGGGAATTCCGCTGGAGGAAGCCAGGGGAAAGTGTGAGACCCTCGCGGTTCCGAGTTTGGTGCAGGGTGTGATCCGAGTGTGATCGGCAACAGCAGCCGTTAGAACGGCCGCCCCGCACCTGCTGAGTCGGCCCCTGCCTTTCCCCAGCTGTCCAGTTTGCAGTTTTCTCCAGCGTCAGCGTCACCTGGAGACCTTGTTAACACGCAGGTGCCTGGGGGTGGAGTCTGAGACTCTGGGTTGCTGACAAGTTCCCCAGTGATGCCAGTACTGCTGGTCTGGGAACCATGTTTTAGACGAGGGGTTGGCAAACCTTTTCTGTCCAAACGAACAGTGTGAACGTCACAGACGTGGTGCCCTGTGTCTGGCCTCTGCTCCACTCTGCCATTGTGTTGTGAGGCGGTCACTGGCCAGGCTCTGATACACGGGGGCAGCTTTGTTCCCACGGGACTTTTACAAAAGCAGGCCGAGGGCCGGGCTGGACCCGTGGCTCGTAGTTGGTAACCCCTTGTTTAGGTGACACCTTGTTTCAGACAAGTCCAACTTTTGAACCTCAGGTCGCCGCGCTATTGTGAGTGTATCAAAAGTGGGTCATTAAAAAGAAAAAAAGACCTCAGCCAGTGAATCGATGGCCCTTAAGAAAATCATACAAATCCACTGTGATTTATTTCTGCAGAAGAGCTGCTGAGTATGAAAGGCCACGTCCAACGAGATGCTTTCAAAATAATCCCGTGTGAAGATAAAGCTAAATATGCATGTTAGCCACAGAGATTCTATTTATTTTCCTTCGGAAAAACTAAACGTGTCAGTTCGTGTCAGCCTGTCAGTGTGGGAGTGACTATCCTTAGCAAAGTCACTCCGGTGTCATTTTCTAAACTAGGCACGGCCGTCGTGTGCCGACCTGAGAAGTCACGGGCACTGGGGAAGGCGGGGTGCCCTCCCCACTTTCCATGGAGAGACGAGCTCAGTCCCGCTTTCTCTGGATTCCTTGGGAGGGAAATGGGTTTGGGGCACAGTGGGCTCACACAGCAGAGCTTCCCTGTTGTCCCTGTCCCTTGAAAAAGGACAGTGTCGTGACAGGACCAGGCATGAGTTAGAGCACCACTGACCGCCCTACGGTTCCAGAAGGCAGTCTGGAAGCCTCGCGTCAGAGGAGCGTGCTCCTGGCGGGGGTCCCTGGGTAGCTGAGGGACTGAGATTGTGTGGGCTCACTCAGCCTGCTGTTCTTGACGAGTGGCGGACTTATTCCCCACTCTGGTGACAGATTTATTCCCCACTGTCGACCCAGCCCTGGTGTTGGTGCCAATGGTGGGAAACCACTCCGATTTCCTCTTCACCCTGAACCCTGACGGCTGCTTGATTCACTCACAAAGCCTCACGCCCTCCTGGTGCACAGCTCGGTGGCCTGACCTTCCGCGTCTCCCTCTCTCTCAGGCATCAGTGGCAACAACATGTCCCACTCACTGCTGTCCCTGTGGGCCATCCCGTCTGGTCAGCACCCAGGAGAACAGAGAGCCATGGGGTGTCTTACGTGGGTGTTAGAAGGTCATTCTCCCCAAAAGTGCCTTTTCAGCAGAAATTTCAGCTGACCGGGGAGGTCAGGTGGGGCCCCAGGTGCCCCCGGAGCTTGAAATACCAAATGCTGGTCCCCTGAAGCCAGCCCTGACCTCCCTTGGGGGCTGGGGCAGGAGGCGGCTCCGAGAGCCCTCCCGCCTCCCCGAGGACATGGAGTGGCGCCAGCCTTGCGGTTTGACTGACCCGCCAGCGTGTTTATTTTCCTCTGACCTCAGGGTCCGGCCCTGGACAAGGGAATTTGTGGTCTGATTGTTTTGACCTTAACAAGTTTTCATTTGAAATGTAGGATCTGATTTTTTTAATTGTCAGAGGATTTAGATTTCTTTGAAAGCGGCGGTCTGCCGCCACCAAGGCCTGTGCTGTGGCAGGTTCCTCATCTGCTTGGCCTTGAACTTTAACTATTAGCATCATTATTATGGTTATTATTATTGTCATGATTAATACCTGAGATGATCATTGTCATCACCCTAGAGTGAAAACACAGTATGTCCTGACACATAAAACCACACATTAACTGGAGCAGTACCTTGGAGAGACAGTCTTCCCAGGGCATTTAAAAGATTTTTGTAACTGGTTGTTTTTTTTTAAGATTTTATTTATTTATTTTTAGAGAGAGGGGAAGAGAGGGAGAAGGAGAGGAAGAGAAATACCATGTGTAGGAGACATGTTGATCGGTTGCCTCTTACACACCCCCACTAGAGACCTGGCCTGCAACCCAGGCACACGCCCTGACTGGGACTCCAACCAGCAACCTCCCAGTTCACAGGATGGGTACCCAGTCCACTGAGGCCACACCGGTCAGGGCATAACACCCAGGTGAAGTACACAAAGTGGCATCCTGTGCATCCTCCCAGGAAGGTCTTGCTGATTTCCTTGTCAGTGACTCACAGAGGGCCCCTCGGAACCATTTCCTATAAAGAGAGTTCTCCACTCTTCATTGTTGGTGGCAGATTTAACCAGAAGTGGGTGGGCGCTGGCGTCTGCTGTGCGCCTCCTTGCGTGCAGGCGAGCTGGGTAGACGTGGGCGGGCACACTACAAGACGCTTTGGTGGCAGAGCCCCAGCTCCCCACCGCCACAGGGGGATGCCGAATGCTCCAGCTGTCGGTCCTCTGTTTCCACGACCGAAGCCAGGCTGCCTCTCCGCTCCGTGGTTCACCCGTACCACTGGCCCGAGGTTCTGGCCCTTTCCTAGACCATGTTTTGCCAGCCCCTGTCTTTTTCCAGATTCCTTCTCCACCCTGGCCTTGGAGCCTGGATCAGTGGCTTTAACTGTGAGCACACACTAAGGCTTCTGACCGAACCTGGCTGGTGGGCTCTTCCTGAGTCTTGGAGGTGCCCACACCGAATTTATAAGCCAGATGCCTCCTGCTTTCTCATGTCTCCATCGGGTAGCCCCTGTCCATGTGACATGGCCTTGAACCCAAAACACCTTGATGTAAGAGCCAGGAAAGAGTTAAAAGTAACTCATGGGAAGGGTTCGAAGGTTGTGGTCAGGGTAGGGAGACGTTTGAGAGTGTCAGTCAAATGCCTTCTGTGGAATGCCAGGCCTGGCTTTGTGTTACACAATTAAACAGCTTTATTTATTCTCAGCTCCTTGTGACTGTGTCAGTATCAGTGTCCCAATGTCTGGCTCTCTCCACTCGGAAACCACAGCACACACGCTGGCATGTGTTGGTGATTAGCACACGCCATAGTTTCCCAGCACCCACCGTGATAGGAACGAATTCCCCAGATAGAGACCGGAGCTCTCCATTGAGGTGGGTGCCTGGGATGGGGAGGTCACTACCTCGGCGATACACTTTTTGTCTGGTCCCCGTGGAATCTTGGCATCTCCATTCCGCCTGGTACCCAGCCACTGTCATCTCACGGTGAGTTGTGTCGCTTGCTCCACAGGACAGCTCGTCGGTCATCCAGTTCATGACCCGCGCCAAGGTGAAGGTGGACCCCGCCCTCAGGGTGGTGGAGATAGCCAGTGGGAACCCAGAGGAGATGACGGTGAGCTGGCCACCCCTGGGACAGCCCTTCTCAGAGGGGAGGGAATCTGGGCGGCTTGGTGATGGCATTTGAGGGTAAAGATGGTTTCTGAGGCGAGATGCCAGCTTTGTGGGAGGCCTGCCTCGGCTTCCAGACGCCCATGGGGAGCTTCTGCGGTCTGCTCGTGTTGTGATAGCATCGTTCCCGAGGATGCTGTCGTGATCTGAAAGCTCCCTGCTAGGACCAGCCAAAGGAAAAATGGTCTGGGAGGACCCTTGACAGGCCTTGGATTTCCACCCCGAAGCCAAGGCTATTTTTATCTTCCTCAGACCTTTTCCTGAAACCTCATCTGCCTTTCCAGTGAAATTGCTTCATGGGCAAACACTCCATGGATAAAAACAAGCTGTGTGACTAAGTTAAAGGGGTCGCATCCAAATTGCCAAGTCCTAGAACCTTCTCTCTCGTTCTCTACCCACCGTCCGGTTTCCATGGAACCAAATGCAATTGGCATACAGACCTCAGAGGTGTGGGAAGTTGTGGCGGCCGGGAGACTTAGCTGCAGCGAGGCTGGAGGAAAAGAGTGACCTCGGAATTCTACTGCCTTTTACTGGGGTGGGGAGGGAAAGCTCATCCTTTGACACCCCCCCAACACACACACACACACACACACACACACACTCAGGCCCTAGGCAAGTGGAAAGGGGAGACAGCAGCCTGTGACTGGCTTTGCCAACGAGCTGTAGCGGAGGCTGCCTTTTTGCCTCTCCTTCCCTGGAGTTTGCCTCATCTCAGGGGAGACATCGCCTTCTCTTGGAAGAGTCAGTGGTGCTCTGATAAATTCCCAGAAGGGATAGTTTGTGACGGTTATTGACTTACAACAAAGATTGTGAATTTATTTTCTGATGGCCATGGAGGCCCCACGTATGGAAATGTTAGGATGGGTTTGGACCAAAGCTCACTCTTACAAGACCCTGGTTGGGAAGGTTCATGTGGAAAATAAGTCTCCGGGGACACCAGTGAGATCTCAGTCCTGCTCCGGTTGGCGGTGAGCAGGGGACATGTCGTCAGCTGGGGCGGAATGAACACCATGTGAACCTGTGAAAGGGTGAGGACCTCAAAGCTGCAGCAAAACCTGGCCCTTCCAGACTCAGTGCGGGACGGACGGTCAGACGTACAGCTTTCCTCCTCTGGTCACACTGCCAGTCATTTGACTCATAGAAACTGAAGGGATGAAGTGGAAGAATGCTGGAATCCTCCGTTACCCATGGCCAGTCTTCCTGGCAGGTCAGATGTTTCAAGCTGGCTTTGGCCTTTTGTGGCCATTTCACTGCCAATTCAGACCTTCACCTGACCTGACACTGGAACTCGTTGTCATAGTTCTAGTTGGAAGGTTCTAGAGAAACACATGCCCAGCATGAGAGGTATGGTGTGTTCTGGTAGACTACGGCATTCCCAGTCAAGACCTAATGGAAGTAATCAACAAGTTTCCTATGGGTGGAATCCCTTGTGTAGATTTATTTTAAGATTTATTTATTTATTAATTTCTAGACAGAGGGGAAGGGAGGGAGAAAGAAACGGAGAGATACATCAGTGTGTGGTTGCCTCTCATGCGCCCCCTACTGGGGACCTGGCCCACAATCCAGGCATGTGCCCTGACTCGGAATCGAACTGGCAACCCTTTGGTTTGCAGGCCAGCACTCAAGTCACTGAGCCATACCAGCCAGGGCCCCTTGTGTAGATTTTTAAAAATCTATCGTGGAGAACATGGTCTTTGATTTAAGACGCTGAGCTGTGTGTGGGATCCAGGAAGGCATTACCGGACTCCCTGTTGTTGGGCTGAGTCAGCTGTACACCACCAAAATGCCACTTCCATTATTACGGTTCCATTCGGAGCACTGTGGTAATATTTTCCTTATCAAGAGTTCTTTAGAAGCAGCTCTCAGTTCCACTGATTTTTGTCAGTACTCCCAAGAAAAAAGTGACACCCATCATAACCCTACAATGCTCCCTTCTCCCTCCTTTCCCTGACTCTGCCTGTTTTAATCCATGAGCTCAGATGAAGTTCTACAATCTGTTCTCAAGTTTTCTGGCAGAAAAAACAAAAAAGAAAATCTTTTCTGAGAAGGAAGATTTGCCTTTTTAGAACAAACACGTTCTTTCCTGTGTGATTCTTCCGAACGCCTGGCTCTTAGTCAATCGTGCCTCCGGGGGGAAACTTCCATAGAGGGGTAGCCACCAAATTTAAACCGGGCAAAATGGCACAGGATTTTAGATTAGGCACCACCGTTTTACGGCCTTGGAAAGAACAGGAAGTGTACTTCCAGCCGGTATGAGCAGGGTGGGGGCAAGAAGAGGAAAATAGACTTTTAACCACGTCAAGTCTACATGGCAGTCAACTGTAAGGGAAATGAAGTAATTTTCCTGGGACTCCTTGTGTCTTTCATTTTTAGGCCACAGAATGAGTAGAGCTTTGCAGAGCACTTAGGTGAATGCCTACAGATAGGTCTTGAAGGCATTTGCCTGGTGTGTTAGTGAATAATCTTGGGGTTCTTCCTAGGTGGGGCGTGAGCATGGATCTGAGACCAGCCACACCAGCCTTGCTTAGCTTGGTGTAGATCCGCACCTGACAATTCCAGCCTTGTTCCTTTTCAGGGGGAATTGCCAATGGCTGAGGTTAGAAACGTCCCCAGGGCAAACCAAGATCTGTGGAATCGGCTCGGCCACCGCCAGCCACCACCAGCCACCACCCCACACTTGCTCCTCAGGCCGCAGGAGCAGCTCATATGAATTACAGGGCAAATTCGTGTTCCTGATGTTTTAAAATAGCAGAATATGTGAGAAACCCAGAAACCCATGGATAAAGGAGTCATTGCCACGTGCAGTTTGTGCACCAGGCTGAGGTTTTGGGTGCAAGCAGGGACAGGGCTTTGTCCCTTTGGGGGGCTGGCCCTGTCTCCTTTCGGCAGGACCAGGTGGATGAGAAGGGTATCTGGTGGGTCTCAGGGTTACCCAGGACTCTGGACAACCCGACTGGGGGATATGAGCGGTGTCAAGGACTCTGAGCACCAGGACCACGGGCTCAGTGAGGCCTGGAGGAGCCTGGGTCAGCGCTCTGGAGGCAGGCGTCCCTGGATTCTCGGAGCTTCTTGCTCCGGAAACGGGCAGGACCCTCTCCCTGCCTGAGGTTGGGTCCCGGCCGCTGGGGCACCAGGAAGCCAGGGAGAGCAGCTCACAGCATCTTTGGCTTTCGCAGCATAGCCGCACCCGCACCCTAGGACTCACACAGAGGGTTCCCCAGCACTAGAAGCAGGTTCAGGACCAGGCTGCTCAAAAGTGGCAACTGTCCTTCCCACGTGCTTCTCTAATACCGAGGGTCAGTGTTTGGCCAGCCCACCTCCCGGCTCTCCTCAGAGCTCCCATGTGAGCTCAAGTCCTCGTTCGACCATTCAAACCGCCGATTAGTACTGACTTTCTGGTTGAGGAGCATTGCTGCTTTCTGCTTTGTTTTGCTGTAAGAAATGATGTGCATGAATGAGCACTGCCTCCCTGCTGATTTCAGGGGGTGGGAACCTCCCTCACCCGTGACTCCCCTGCAGCTACTCAGCCCGTGGGGAGGCACGGAGCCATGTGGGATGAGAGGGCATGGACCAGTGCAAAGCCCCCAGCATGGAATAGAACTATGGGAGTCACCTGCTTTGGATGGGGGTCAAGGAACGTTTCTCCAAGGAAACTGAGACCTAGAGAACGAGAGGGAAGTGGCTTGCCCATCAGGGGGAAGTGTCCCCATGGCGGTGTGGGGAGAGCTATAAGAAGACACAAACAGCTTGCCGTATTCGAGGCTGACAGACCAGTGTGGCAGACACCTGGGGAGCAGTGGAGACATCCAGGGTGGGCGACATAGGCAGGGCCCATGCCCTGTAACTCAAGGGGGCAGTAACACGGGGCAGCCATTGAATGCTTCTGGTTTGAGCGGGGAATGGCACGTTCCAATGTATAGTCTTTAAATGTCACAGGCTCCTGTGTGGACAGTGGATTGTCAGGGCAAAAGGTAGAAATAAGGAAGCAAATCAGAAGGTTTTGACTCTCACCTGGCAGGAGATGATGGTGGCAGAGAAGATAGAAATGAACAGGTAGATATATGTGAGAGAAGATGTGATCATTTGTACAAGGCACATGCAGGGAATATCTGTCCTAAAGGGTTAGGAGATATCAAACCACATCTTGATGCCCAGCCCCTCGCCTGGTACACCTACTGTTCAGTTCCTAGGGGCTCTCACCACACAGAGATGGCGAGGACAGGATGGGCCATTTCATGTGATTATCTCCTGTCACTCTATGTCACCCTATGTCACCCTTGTGAACCCGGCATTGCTCCTCCCATTTTCTCTTGGGGAAACTGAGTCTCTAGGACACGAGGAGACTGCCAGCCTGAGGTGCCACATCTAGCCAGTGGGAGAGCCAGGACTGGCCACCAGGTCTACCCACTTGTGAGCCCCGAGTCTTCCCTAATCCTCCATTCCTCCGACCTGTGCCGCCCCATCACCCCGCGCCCACATGCAGCATGGATACCATTCCGAGCAGGAGGTAGGAGTCACAGTCCCGGGTGGTAAACAGCTGGGCCTTTGTCATAGGAGTGACCCTTGGCTCTGGTAGCTTTAGAAGCACATGGTGTTCAGACTTAGATGTCTGTTGATTCTGGAACCCTTCCCTTCGTGGCCAGGTCCCTAAGCAGACACAACCTACTCATCAAGAGGAGAATCAGGGCTCCTGCAGAGCCCTGAATGACTTGAGGTAAACGAGCTGCATCCTCCTCCTCCCTTTGAAGAGAGGTTCTGAGGACTCTCGGGGGGAACGGACATAAACCCTCCGCACAGTGTCTGGCACATAGTAAGTTCTCAACAAATGTGACCCATTATATACAACAAAGGAACTGGCACTAGCCCATTTTATTCCTGTGCAAATTCTAGCAGAGCAAGGAATTTCTGGAAGCCTGCACCTGGCGGGCATGGGCGTGGTTGACG